TCCTTTGCAGCGAGAGCTCATCGTTGAGGCTGATACCTGCTCATGCAGAGCTGGCTGCTGACGTCTTCCCAATAAACATTTAAACACAGGCTGAGCACACACAGATCCGTGGACTGCTGTAATTCATTAAACAAATGTTGGGTTTAATAGCCCCGTGTCCAAAGCTGGTGCCATGGATGCGCTCAGCTGTGAAATATGCTGTGGAAGTCATTCGTTTGCAAAGGGGTCTAGAAATCTGCTTTCTATTAACATAAAATGGGTTTACTGCAGAAAAATCTCTGGGATCACATTTTTCTCTCAATTATCCCTTCTCAGTGGGATTCCTTGAGGTTTGTGCCGGGTAACTGAGATGTGTCTAAGCTGGGGGGTTTGGAGCTGAGGTTTGTTTTGATCCATTAAGCTTGTATCTCGCCACAGTGATGTAATTCCCCCAGTCTGAGACACTTTATAAACATTAATGGGTTTGTTTTCATGGTCCCCAGGGATGTGCAGCACAGGAAGGTCGCCAAGACCATTTTACCCACACAGAAAAAGAGATGGGGAAATGTGGCAAGGGGAGAAACAGAACATTCACTCAAATTTTTAACCTGTCCATCCTTAGCTCTTTTTAATTCAGTTTCAATAACTTATAAATTAGTAACTATAACTTAATTATGCATTTTAATAACTTAAAGTTATTAGTTTTAATAACTAATAAGTTACTACAGCAGTACCACATCAGCAAGGTTTGCATAAAGATGCTGCTGAGGAAGCTGAGGAATGAAAGAGTTGGTGCTCCATATTTTATGAGTGAGAGAGGGGGTAAAATGCAGTTATAAATACACCTTTGCAGAGGGAAAAAAAAATAGTAGATATTAACAACTGCTGTAGCTTTAGTGGGAATTATTTAGTGGAGATGTGCTGGAAGAGACTGTGGAATGTGGGCCATGCTGTGCTTTTCCTGGGGATTGCTGCTGAAGTTGCTGGCCTCTTGGACTGGATTTTCTTGGGGATAAACAGCCATACAGATGCCCCTGGTGATATTTGGAAGGGGCCAATTGGAAGCTGGCCCTGAAGCATGCCAGGGCACAACAAACCTGAGGCACAGATCAAAAATCCCACTTTGGAGATCTTTTTCCCATCACAGAGGGTCCATTTTTGAGGATGTACTGGTGATACTCACAGCTCTTTCAGCTGGGAATTGTTCCTGCAAACACAGATACATGGAGCAGATGAGAAATTAATGTAAATATACAGACAGAAGGCAATTTTTTTGGAGGAAGTGAGGCAGAGGCAGATAAAAAGCGATCAGCAGAATTTACATAAGCCTTCCCCATCACAGAGGTCATCATTCTGCAGGATGACACATGGAAATTCATTTTTATTAAATTCTGGATGATTATTTAATTGGAAAAAGAAGGATTTAATTGAATCAAGTCAAAGGGCCCTATTAGATTACGTTCAACCTTAACACAGAAGGCTTTTCCCATTTAGTTAAACTGGTTCCTTTGCATATTGTACATATTAAATATAAAAAGTGGTAATCTGAATAGCAAATTAAAGGGTTTGGAAGGCCTGAATGGTACTCATGTGCTTCTCAACCCTTTTTCATCTTCTAAACCTTCATATATTCTTTACTGTACTCCTTAGGTTGTATCAAGAGCAAAGATGAAGGGCGGAACTCTCAAATCTTCCTCTATCCATGTTTATTCCATTTCACACTCTTGAGGAATAGCCTGCCTGGATGTGATGGCACTACCAGAACACATTGCCCAAAACTGAGGGTGTTTTCCAGATTTTCAAGGCTCCCCTTGGAGCACCTGAACAGATGCTGAGTGTAATAAGGTTGAATGAAGATTTGTGACTTACTGGCATTGACTCAGGTTTCCCTTGTGTCCTTAGGAAATATTCCCAATCCCTTTGTGCCTCATCTATGCGGCCAGGAACTCCCATCCCTCTGGGACACAGACTCCTTGCAGAGCTGTCGACTTCCTGGTAAAAGCTGGAATAAATAATTTTTTTTTTTAAAAAAATCATCAAAGTAATTTTGGGAAATAATATATTTCTAATTTTGTGTCTTCAATTAGCTTTTAATTTCAATTTTTTCTTAATTTAAAACTAAAAGGAGTAAGGGATGGAAGCACAATTCATTTCCTAAAGTTTCATTTCATCGCAATGTTGAGGTTTCCAGCAAAGGCTTGGCCTTCTGACTGGGAGCTGGCACACCCCAGTTGGGTTGGGAATGCCCCATCCTTGTGCCTTTCCTCTGGCTGATATTGCTGGATTGCTGGGACACTCTGTGCTCCTTCCAGGAAGAAGCTCAGAGAAATCAAATTCTGCTCTGAGAGACTGAAATCAGTTTTAATGGATCCAGCTGTTACCCAGTAAGGATAGAGGAGGCATGGGAAAGGGGAGAAAATCTTCCAAGATATCTTCAGGGGATTTCAGGAAGACTTGAAAGTAGTAAGGAGAGTTTTTAGAGTGAGGTTTTTAACTTACCCATGAGGCCACAGCCAACTTTAGGACACATTTTTTAAGTAACCACGTGCTAATGGAGAAATTCTCTTTGTCAGTAAATTTTAAAAATTCCAGTTCTGACAGTGCAGCAACTCAACCAGTCTATTATTAAAGTTAGATTGAGTAAGAAACATCATTTGGAATTTGCCTTAGCAGCTAAATGGGTTCTTGGAAGGCTCAAATCAGCTTTAACCTGATTTTTTTTATGATAAAAAAAAAAAAAAGTGCCAATACTTTAAAGCCAAGTTCCTTTTTGCTGAAGTTTTACTTTCATTCATTGCAATGAGTAAGTTTTGCATATACGGTACTGGGATTGCACACTCAGGTTATCTGGTTACATACATAATTCTCCCATTTGCAAACACAGTTTGCAGCACATACTCATGCAAATTAGGTATGAAACTGGGCATTTATCTTGATTAGAATTCAGTTGCTTTATATACTTACAGAACTTCATCTCATTCAGGGATGGCTGTAGAGATGATGGAGAAAGAATTTCAAAAATTGCACTTATTCTCCTTGTGGGTTGTTTGTTGGCCCTCTGGGAATTCATTAAGGAAAACAGACCTTTCCACTGATATTCTGAGTGCCCTGGTCCAGCACCCAGCTTGGGTTGCAGACACTGCTGGAAACTGTCAGAAATAAGTGTCCCTTGCAAAAGCCACTGTACCATTTCATGGAATAAATGGAATGGGATATATATGGAACATAAATGGAATAAATGCTAAATTATCTCTGTTTTACAATATCCAGATGGATTGATCCAGATGGATGTAAGGACTAGATGCCACTTGGCAAGGACTCAGTCCCTTTGACTCTTGGAGAGCTGGTTGTACCCAGCATCCAGATCAGGCCTGAGGTTTTGGGGGATCCAGGCTGCTCTTGTTGATGTTTCTCAGCAGACTGACACAGCAGATTTACCCCATTTCTGTCCCCAAAAGCTGCCTGGGGACTCTGCACACCAAACCCCGTGCTCCTGCAGAGCCCACATCCCTGGGTGTGTGGGATGGTGATGTGCTCCTGCTTCACCTCAGGTCCAGCCTCTCCTGGAGCCATCCCTGCAGCTCTCAAGAACAGCAACCCTTTTCTATCCTTTTTACTGCATTTTGAATCAGGGCTCTGCAGTGCCAGTGCTGCACAAGGACACCCTGAAGTTCAAAGTACTGCCCCAAATTCTCAGCTTGTTCAGCCAAAAGCCTGAATTTAGACAAATATCAGAGGGTTTAGCAAATTGTGCTGGGCTGTTTCTCCCTCTTTAGTCATGATTTTCTCTGACTTTCCCCTTAACAAGAGTCCTTGCTCACTGTCCTGGCTCCTTGCTGTGCTTCCCACATCACTCCTGTTTCTGTGAGGCTCCCACCCCACTGCCATGGGGCTCCTGCCCAGTTCCTAAACCCATTTGTGAACTTTTCCAGGTACAGGTGGCTCAGGTGACAACTCACAGCCTGCAGATTTGGGATGCAAGGATGGAGTGGGTTGGTATAGCCACGTGAGCCATGGTCTCCAAAGCATCCCTGTCTATGGGGCTTGGAGCAACCTAATGTGGTGGAAGGTGTCCCTGCCCATGGCAGGGTGAGACGATCTTTAAGGTCCTTTCCAACACAAATCACTCTGTGATTCTATAATTTCACTTCAGTGAGGATGAAGCCATCTGCACGGCTGCCACGGGCAGGGTGGCAGCTCTGCAGGCTTGCTGCAGCCCTGGCAAACACACAAGTGGATCCCTCTGAGGGATGGATAAGGCACAGGGAAACATCCGCGCTCCCTCTAGCAGTCGCCAGCGAATGGATGATACCAATAATTCTCGATTTTTCACCCTGGGTTCGTGCCACGTGAACCGCCACCGTAAGAGCTTTTGCACTAGTACTGCTGCAGTGGTGACAGCGCTCAGGTGGCTCTTTCCCCCCGCCCCAAAATCCCTCCAGGGGGATTTTTGGAGCCCGCTTTCCTCCACCTGCTGCAGGCAGCTGCTGGGCACGGCCACGCTCAGGGCGAACCGGAGCGCGGTTAGCAGAGCGGTTCTGCACTCGTGGCATTGTGAGCTCACCGCGGGCACTGCCGCAGCCCCGCAGCACCCCTGAACTTCCCGGGGGGCTGCGGGGGGGTCTCGCTCCCAGCGCGGCGCGGGCACCGCAGGCTCCCCCGGCCCGCCCGCCCCGCACGGGAGGGACCCGCCCCGCCGCAGCCGCGCACCCACCGCGGATGCCCTCGGCCGAGCTGCCATCGCCTCTGTCGCGGCCCTGCCCGGGCTGCCGGGGGGAGCAACAGGTAGGGGGTACCCCTACCCCCCCACAACCTGTTTCCCCCCTCTGCAGAGACCCCCCCCCGCTTTCCTCTGCACACCCCCCTGCAGAGCCCCTCTGCGCTCCCCTTGCACAGNCCTGCCCGCCCCCCCCCGCCGCTCCCTCTCTCACCTCTCTCTCTCTCCTCCTCTTCCTCCCTCCCCCCAGGCCAAAATCCTGCACATGATGGACGACAACAAGCAGCTGGCGCTGCGCATCGACGGGGCGCTGCAGGCGGCGGGCCAGGAGGTGACGGCGCTGCGCGCCGAGCTGGCGGCCACCGGCCGGCGCCTGGCCGAGCTGGGCAGCGACCCGGCCATGGAGCACGGCCCGCACGGCGCGCAAGGTGGGTCCCGCCGCGGGCAGGGGGCGAGGGGGCTCCGGCCGGCCAGAGGGGGTCCCTCCCGGCCGCCGCCTCCGCTCGGTGTTATTGTCCATTGTTTGTTTTTGGGGGTGCCCGGCGCGTCCCGTCGGGCCGTGGTTGCGGGTTCCCCGCTGCGTTCGGAGCTGGGTCCTTCCCTGCTGCGGCGGCTCGCTCGGCTCCAGCAGCCCCGGCACGAGGAGGGACCCCCCGCCCCAAATACTCACGGCTCCCCGCATCCTCCCGCCGCCGCCACCACCGTCACCACCCCCTCCGTTCACATCCCCTCGCCGCACCGCGCCCCGAGGTCCCCCCGGCCGGCTCTCCCCGGTAATCCCGCGCCCTCAGCCGGTTTCGTAATTCGGTAGGAAAGGGCAGATGTTACCGCCGCGATCCGCGATCCGCGCTCCGGCCCCCACGGAGCCCCGGCCCCGCCGCTCCCCCGCTGCCCCCGGCCCGGGCTCGGTCCGCGGGGCTCGGTCCGGCCCAGGCTCGGTCCGGCCCAGGCTCGGTCCGCGGGGCTCGGTCCGCGCACGGCGCCCGGAGCCCACCCGAGCACCGGCACCCCCGGCACGGGTGGGCTCGGACAGCCCCCGTGCCAGGCACACACCCCCTCTGCCCCCCGCATCCCTGAAAAGTTGTCTCCGTGCCTCGGGGCCGAGCGTGGAAAGCGGGGTGCAGGGGGAGCGGGAAGAGACTTTGTGTGGTGGTTAAGGAACTGAGCCCGAATCGCTCCTGTAGTACTCGCGGTGCTCTCGCCAGGCTGAAATTCAGTTTCCTGCTCGTCAAAGTGTGTTGCCATCGCTGATACGTTTTTATTTGAATGCTTTTGTATTTTAGGGTTTCTATTTCCCAAATAATTACAGGCTTGCATGACAGTTTACCCCGAGCAGCCTTGATGTCAGAACAAAAATAGTGCGAGCCCTCCCCTTTCCCGATAACTGAATTTACACCTGTGTGATAAAAACGTCAGTAGCTGTTATTTACTCGTTACTTATTTACTGTATCTCTTGGTAGGGTGGTTCGGCGCTATTTTAAATAACAGTGAAGCTCTTTAAGGTAGCATAGCGTTTGGCGGGGCATAGTTGCTGCCGGCAGGATGTAATAATGGAATTACAGAATCACAGAACACTTTGGGTTGTAAAGGATCGTAAAGATCATCTTGTTTCAACCCCCCTGCCATGGCTGGAACTGATTGGATTGCATGCCGGTGTGCTGTTGTTCGTGGCAAACTGATTTAGAGGGATTAATTAGTGGTTTTATTCCATCCAGCTTGTGTTTCACTGTTTTGGTAGTGGGGGTGTGGGGTGTGAATTCCACTCACCCAGCTGAGCTTCCAGGTGGCTGCGGGGATGTAGGAAGTGAAGTTACCTGTGTGGCCAGGGATTTTCTGAAATGCTGTGCAGAGGCTGGGATAATCTCAGCCACCCTCTGCTGTACACCACAGCCAGGCTACCGAGGCTCTTGCTTTTATAAAAATCTGCTGAAAGGGCAGAAGGAGGATGCCAGCCTCCATCCTCCCCTGTGGAGCAGGGGCATCAGGAATGCAGATGGTGACACGATGTACAGGGCATGCATGTGGAAATGCAGGCTTGCAGCCAGGAAAGCAGGTAAAACCCTTCAGCTGCTCGTGCTCACACTGATTCCTGTGTGCGTGTTCAGTGTTTGGTTTCGTTTCCTCTCCAGGACACTTCTGGGGAGATGCACGTTTCTGCTGCGTGTCCTGGCAAGGGACAGGGGGGTGTGTTCTCTGAGGATAGGGCTTTTTTGTTTTCCTCAGAGGTTTTCTAATCTGTTGAGTGATGAAAAATACTCCTCTTTGTGTTCCTTTACTATCAGCATGCTGGAAAACAGTTGGTGCCTGTAAAGGTGCCAAAGAAATGTGCTCTGTTCCTCAAAGCCTGCGTGTTTCTGCTTATAACTCTGATTACATGTGCTTTGGAGTTGTGGGGTCCCTGTGATAGAGGGGGGGAAGGGTGGCCCCACCCTCAGCTGGGTGGGAGAGTGGTACCTGCAGTTGAAGCTGCTGGAGGGTTTGGTCCATCTTCCCACTCTGTAAGCTGAGAAATTTGGCTCAGCATGCTGATGACTAGGAGTTAGGAGAAAGGACGCTTCCGCAGCAAGGTGTGACACCGTGGCCTTGTGGCTCTGAATGAGTCTTTGTCTTTCCCCATGAATTTAACAAGCTGTTATTAACACTGTGATACATCCAGCCCTGTACCACTGCTGTTGTAACAGAAGTCAATCAGTTAAGTGTAAAATTGTATCTAAAAGAGTGTTTTGTCTGTCATGTTTAGGAAGGAAAGGGGGGAGAGTACTTGATCTCTGCAAAACCCACCGAGCAGATTCACTCTGCTTTGTGTTTCCTCCCTAAGTTTGGTACTATTGTTTATATGCTGCCATAAATGCTCTCCTACATCACTCTGTGTTTGTGTAGACAGGCCCAAGATATCTATAGTGAGCCATATGCTTTTCCTCAAGGATTTTGAGACGACATTCAGAAGGATGGGGTGAAAACAAGAATCTCTGAATAGCTCTGCTGTTGTGTGTCTCCTAAGTAGGAGGGCTGCCAAGCTGTTTGATTTATGCAAATATATTAAAGGCAGGCAGGAGGATGGGGAATAGGGTGGCAGCCTGCAAGTGCAGATTTGGGGGGTGCTGGTGGTGCTCGGGTGGCAGGTGGGTGTGGAGGGGAGTCTGCTTTGGTCCAGGAGGAAAAGCCTGTGGTGGAATCATCAGGTCCCTTTGCTTATAGAATCCCAGAATGGTTTGGTTTGGAAGAGACTTCAAAGATCACCCAGTTCCAACCCCCTGCCACAGGCAGGGACATCTTCCACTATCCCAGGGTGCCCCAATCCCCATCCAACCTGGCCTTGGACACTTCCAGGGGTCATGGGGCAGCCACAGCTGCTCTGGGCAGCCTGTGCCGGGGCCTGCCCACCCTGACAGGGGAGAATTCCTTCCGTGTGGTGGGAAGGAGCTCACGATCACAGTGCTGCAGGCAGCTGCTCCAGGTCAGTCCCAAGCTGTATGGAAGGAGGTGAATGTGTGTCTCTGTGCCACGCTCAGTTCGTAATTAATACTGAGTATGTCAGATGTGTTATTTGTGTAATTATGGTGCAGCTTGAGACAGCTGGAGGTAATAACTCTGCCCCTTTTGTGCACTCTGAGACTTTTTTTCTGCTACAATGTGCTATTTTTGCCATGACAAGGTATGTTTTGAGGGCCTCTTTTCCATAATTTTAATCAAAACTGAAAGAATTCTGCGAAGAGGGAGGGCAGGATGGTGGGTGTGCGTAGGTAGACAGGAATGGAACTTGTACATTGTTCCAGTCCTTAGTGTGAGTGTTAATCATTCAAACCTCTCAGCCCTGACAATCTCTTTTAACTGGTGAGTTTGCTGGGAGAAGTATTTTGGCTGCAGCCTCTGTCTAAACTTGGATGCAGATCAGGGTGGAAATCAATACTTCGTGTCCCCAGCTTTTAGCACAGCAATTACAGGCAGCACTCAGTAACATCTCTGCAGCTGTGTGTCAGCACCCTCGTGTTGGAATCCTTGTTTGAATTTGTATTGGTTGAATTGATTGTGAACAAGAGACGTGCCCAGTGGTCCAGGTGGGATGTTGGTAATGACAGAGGGATGCAGCAGAGCATTGCTGTGGTGGGTCCATGCTTAGCTGTGACCTCTGTCCATGCTGGCTGCACCTCTGGGATTTTGGCTTCGTGGCTTTGCCCAGCCTACACCTGTATTTTCAGCAGTTTGGTTTAAAGCAATATCTCTGTGGAAAACTGAAGTCTGGTGATGACTTGCCATGCTGCATCAGGTGTTTGGTCCGTTCAGCCTCGTGTTTTTGCTTTAGTCTCCTTCCCACATTAAATGGAAAACACCTTAATTAATTAATGTTGGTAAAGTGCTTGAAGATGTAACGCGCAATCAATGGCTAAGTGTTGTTAATAACACCTCGCTCAGTGTTTGGCTTATCTCATTTCTGATTTCAGAGCGGCTCAGGCACACTGTGATCGTGTCTCCAGGCCCATGGCAGTGAGGATTGGTGGTGTTTGCCATGGATGCTGCCAAAATTCAGCTGGGGACCGGGCAGGAGCTGCATCCTGCCCCTGGAATAAAGGGCTGCTCCTTGCTGCACTGTTATCTCAGGCACGTGAAGAAAGATTTCAGTTGTATCTTGGGATGTGGTGATGCCAAGGGGCTAGGAGGACCTTTCTGCTCACAACAGCCTAAAATAGAGTTTTTTCTTTTTCTCTTTGATCTCAGTATCCTTTCATAGCTACAATGCAAAGACTTTGACTTTTGCCCGGGAGGCAATCAGTTACCTCTGTGCTGTTGCTATTTTGTGAGTAATCATCTCTGGCTGTTGAAAATGTACCATTTTCATCTCTTCAGAAATCTTCCCTGCTATTTGTTCTTCCAGAGCTGGAGAGCTGATACTGTAAAGAAGCCTGAGGAATTTGGATACTGCTGCCCAGTTGGGTATTGGGAGCATTTTTGTACCACGCTTATCACAAGATCAAGGTCTTGCTGTACTATTACTCCTTCTAATAATTTCCTACTTTGTTTCCCTTTGTCCTGTGTAGTTCAGGGAGCAACTCGTTTCATGCTCTAAAACAATTGCCTGTCCTGGGAAATAAATCTGTGCTTAGCAATGTTCCCATGGTTGCTTTAGACACAGGGAACTGCCTGCTGATAACACTCCAGGTCCCTGCTATATCTTAGTCTTTGAAGATGTTAATTTAAGTATCTTTTCTGGAGCTTTCCTATTCAAAAGCCTCATCTGGCATGGTTAGCATAATATTTAGATTATCATTGCTCTAGGCTTTGTCCAGGGGAGTTAAAATGAAGCTTCTAAGGATGAGTAAGCTCAAATAAACTGAAGTTGAAGAAGGACTTAATCCAGGGCTTTTGACTCACCAGTTTGAAATATAACCATGAAAATGGTGTTCGATTTGCAGGTGGGCAGAGGGACATA